AAAAAAATTTATATACAAATACCTAGAATTAAAAAGGTGGTAGAAATAAATTTTTGTCCAGTCATAAATAAATTTCATACCTCCATTAAAAATAATGCTATATGAGCACTTAGGGTTTCTTTGAGGTGCTCAAAATATTCTACCTGTTGACATGAGTTGTGATTACATGGGTTTTCATTTAATACAAAATTCTTTAAGCTGTATGTTTATGTTTTATGTCCTTGTCTACATTTATATTTTACAATAACAAGTGTTTAAAATAGCATAAAGAATTTTAATGACATGCAAAGAGGTTAAAGATATCTTAAATAAAAAAGCAGTTTACACAACAGTGTGTATGTTAACATTTTTCACCAAATAAATATATACCAAAATGATAAGAGATAGGTGATCTTCAGTAAGGGCTAGAGTACTTAGACATTACTGAAGAACATAACGTTTCTAAAAAGTGAATAAATGAACTAAGTCACATGTAATACAGTCTTTCTTTTCCAATATTTATATGAACCATTGGGATATGATAGACTGGTTGGATAGTTATATACAGAATTTATTTGTCCATTTAAATCATGAGCAACAGTTGAGAATGATTTTAAATGGTGAGCATATGTGCTGTTGTTATTTTAGAATTTTGCTTTTATTGTGAAATTTCTTCATTAAAATTATCTGTGATACTAGTTAACAATGTCAAAGTAGATTTTAAAGTGGTAGGAAGACATGAAGTTTGTTCTGTTGCTAATAATAGGCCTTTATTATTGTAATGGATCGCATTCATTAAGATATGTTATAAACAATTGTCATAAAAAGCAGTTTCCGCTATGTAAAATGATCTACTATATCCTCGTTATTATAATTTTATTGTAGCTGTGGCCCAGTATTAAAATTACAAATGAAAATATGTTGTATATAACTTCTTGTTAAAAGAAATTACTTAATAGGCCAATATTCTACTAGACAATCTTGGTCCTATAAGTCACCAAGATGACTTTTCAAGGTTAGAAAGTCAAAAAAAAGTTTGTAATTTGAATCTGCTATTGATTTGACAAATGAGTGCAAGGACATGAACCATAAAAAATATTACAGAAGAAAGAATAGTTTTTCTCATTTGGAGAATAATACGATAACACTTATTTCTGTATAATGACTCTAATTATGCCCAGAATGTACAATCAGGTAGTAACATCAAGTGTTCTCAAATTAATGTAAAAATGGATTTAAATTAGAAACACAGTACCACAATGTTCCAACATTAGTAACAATCATTACTTACAGTTTGTGAAACAGACAAGAGCAAATGCCAATCAAATAAATAACTTGTATTTAGATAACCCAGGTAGTAGTTCAGTGGGGAGTTTTTGAAAAAGAAATTATTTCAATGCCAAGTCACGCTTACAGCTTTGAACAAGTAGCAAAACATGGGCATGTTTCTCAAATGGATTTCACAGCATCAGTGCAAAAGCCGGAGGGGATGGCTTAGTTTTTTAAGCCTCAGATTTGAAATACCTAGACGCCCTGCAACTACAGCGTTAAATCCTCTGTGGAACCACGGCTTCAAATGCTATCAGGAGAGACTCAACTCTTCATCCTTCCGAGACTGATAAATTGAAAGCCATGAAGTTTAGAGAAAATGGAGGGGAGCCTGCAGCCTCTTGCACCCCCTTCCTCACCCCACACAGGAAGGCTCTATTTGTAACATCATTTAAGCTTCCCTTTGAGACTGTCTCCTTGGTAAGACTTGAGGATGCTGTTTTTAAGACATCTGAAATCTCACGACTCTGCCATGGGCCATCTTTATAAACATTTAAACCAAATTTCAGACAGCTCAAAGTAGATGGAAAACATTATTTTTAATTCCCAGTTAAGACAGTCAAGGAAATTCTAACTGCTTATTTTAAAATGCATTATAGGTATTCGGCCAACACTTTATTATTCTTGTGGAAATTTCTGAATCTCAAATTGATTTCTTTTTTGCTGCTTTATGTTTCTGGACTACCTTCTCACTGACATAAATTGATGGAGGCTTGAAAAATTCCAAAAATAATTTTATTTAATTTGCATAGTATTCTGTCATTCTCTCACATCTCCTAACTCATTTATAAAACTTTATAAGATAAGGAAAAACACTTATTTTCTCCAAATTACAGATGAAGAAAGTGTGGCTCAGAAAGATTATATGAGTTAACCACGACTAGTATGTTGTTGCCCTGTGCTGTAAAATCCAGACCTTGAGAATCCTCCTCAAATATTGCTAGTTCTAGTAAGTTCTATTTAAGAACATAAACATTTTACTGAAAGTGTCTGATGCATTCTTAATTTATAACTAACTTTTGATTTATCAGTAATGCTACATATCTCTGCTGTTATGTAAAATTAATGATCTAAAATAATGAAAAATGGGAGAGGATGCTGGGAAAACCATGGACCATTTTCTTAGGGTCTACTCCCTAATTGATTAACAGATGACCTTTTTCATTTAGATTTACCTCAAAATTAAGCATATGGATCCAGTTACATGCAGACCTAAATGAAAACCTGAGAATAACATGAGGGGACTTCTAGACTAAAACTCAAACTACTCTCCAAGTGTTAGTCAAAGAAAAATTAATTCATAAGGAATCCAAATATCCAGACTAATTTGCCATCTTTAAGACAGCAGCAGAGATGACTTTAAGTTTAGGCAAACTGGACAGCGGGCCCATATGGGTATTTTAATAGATTTTATAAAGCCAACAAATATATTTTATTTCTTTGAGATGGCATATTAATAATTTTAAATACGAATACCCTTAGGAAGCTGACATATTGAGACCTTTTCTTAGACATTCCCACTCTAATATAATTTGGCTGTTTTCCTCCAACTAATAGATAAGTTGAACTTCTTTGATAGAACTTTTGATTTCAAGTAAGACTTTTAGAGAGAAGAGTGGACTTAGTGGTGTGAAAATTAATAAACATAAATCTCATTTAAAATGGAGTCAGGAGGCTAGAAGAGCGAATTCTCACGCACATATAGCCAACACATACTATTGACCCCAACAGGAAGAGATATACTTGCATCTCCAACAGAAAGAGTTACTACATTACTACATCAGCAAGAGTAAGAAAAGATTCCTCCTTGCCCAGTAGCAGCTCAGCCAATGGGAGACTGCCATAACCCAGCCAAATGAGAAGCTACTATACTTTGAACTTTCAGTTTCCACCAATGGGCTCTGTTGACAAGAGCCAGTCCATAAAAGAGTGTTCCTCACCTTTGTTTCTCTGGACTTAAAAATTGCTATTTTTTGTTGTTCCTTAATAAACCCATTTTCTTAAAGAAATACCTGGTTATTTCTTATGGTCAATAGTAGGACAACAAAGTTCTGGCTCTTTTAGTCAGAAGAAACACTAATCCCTGAAGCCTCTATAGCCTATTAGCAATAGGCAATAGAGAGCATTGGACACTGAGACTAATTTTCACGTAGTGTATTACACAATTTTTTACTGAAGAATATCCTGGCTCCTGAGTTTGTATCAAGAATGCTTGGGCTCAGTTCAGGTGCTAATGAAAATAAATTCAAAGTACAATGTACTTTTCCCTTGTTTATCCTGTTTTATCCCTATTTTAAATTTTACCTGGCATTAGTTATCCTAATAACTCCAGCATAAATGACTTGTTCCTTCTCCAAAACCTCATAATAGAAATTTATAACACTTCTAATTACATCTAACTTTTTCATAGCACTTCTCTGCCTTGAGATAATTCTTCTAGGCCACTTATATCATGTATTTAATTTCATAGAAATAAGAGCCTTGAAAGTTTTGTATACTTCTCACCTACCAAGTTACTATCTTAAAAGTCTACATAGATTTATAGACATTCTTCAAAACTATTTGATTACATATCTTCCCTCCACAACATAGGAAAGCATTCGAAAGGCCACCTGCCCAGACAACTAAACTATCAAAAAGTTTACCTCTAACATGCATGTAAAGTCCCCACTCCACCTTTTATCTATGAAAACGAAAAAAAGAAACCTCATTCAAAATGAAGTTGGGAAGCCATGAAGGGAAAGCACTTATGCAGGTACCACTCCTGCACCCTGCATAATCTAGCAGAGAGAAGGAAGATTTCCTCCCAACCCTACAACAGAAAGCTTCCAGCGCCTGAAGCAAACAAGAGGCCGCCACCACCTCGAAATTTCATTTTCCTCAGACTTTTGTTTAAAACTTCTCCCAACTTCCTCTTTAAAATAATGCTCTCTTGTTCTCTGGACTTGCTTATGTGGTTCATCAATTTGCTAGTCCTGTGCTATTCCCGAATAAACTGGATTTTGCTGGCTAAGTTTCTCACCTTGTTCTTTAAAAAGGTTGACATATTCAAACATTTATTTAACACTTAATGGTGCCAGGAACAAGGTAAAGGAATGGAGGTAGCTTCCTGCCTTGGAGGTGCAGGTAGTTGCACTTCAGTAAGCTGTGCAAAAGGTTAATTTCTGTTTCCCCAGACTTTTTCCTTTTATTTCAGCTCAGGGATTTATAAGACCTTCAAAAACCTGTGGTGGAAGAACCATTGAAGGTATGAGTGGGAAAAAAAATCTAACACGAACTGGTTGTGGGAAAGCACGCTTCACCTTCACCTCAACAACCATCCCAGATATGAGACCAGGAATCCCAGAGAGTGCATTGGGAGTGTCGCAAACTTTTCAACTTCAACTTTTAATTAAAAGGATAAAAAAGTTAACAGCAAATTAAAAAGTTCCTAGGGTCAAGCAACCCAGGGCTGCATAATTTCGTATTAATTTTCCAATATGAAGCGCAATCTACTTTTAACAAAGGGTAAAGAAAAAAAAAACCAAAACTCCCTACTACCCCAAAATAAGCCCCTCAGCAGGGATCCACAAAACCTTCCTGACAGAAAACCTCCCTCGGTCCCAAAGGAAGCCCGGTCTCGCGAGAGTTGCGGAAGCACGGACCCGGCCCGGAAGGAGCGAGGGTGGGGGCCAAGTGGGCGGGGCGCTGAGGTTCACCAGTTCCGCGAGACCGAGACGCTGCAACCATTCTCGCGCTCGGCCGTGGGTCGGGCAACCATGGCGCGGGAGTCGAGCCTTCTGCTCTTCATGCAGCTTCTGCTCGGCCCAGCTCTTGTGCGCAGCTCCAGCCCTCTCCCTCTGGTCCTCAACACTTGGCCTTTTAAGAATGCAACCCAAGCAGGTGCGGGGCGGTGACCGGGGGGCGGGGACTGCTCTACGAGAGCTGGCAAGTGGGAAGGACAGGCTGGCCGGCCCCACTGAGGTTATGGGAGCCGGGAGCGCAGGCAAGCGCCAGACTAGGCCAGGCCTTCCGTAGCCTCCCCTTCCAGTTCTTCCCGCACCCACTCGTCGCTGCGTCTCTTGCAGTTGACCCTCAATCCGTGCTCTTTGCCACTGCTGCACTTACGGTTCTCATTTAGGATCGATCCCTCTTTTCGGCCCTCGTGCCAGTATATTCTCCACCGTGTTGCCGACCTAGAGTAGTTAGGGCCTTTCTGCTGTACTTTTTCAGGGGCACGTCTGGTGTCTTGCTTGACGTTAGTCTATTCACGTGCTACCTCATGACTACCTTCTACAGCTCTCCTCTAACCCCTCTGGTCTCCCTCCCCAGTAATACCCTGTTCTCCAGTTTTGCAGACGAATAATAATTTCCCATAGAAAGCGTATTATTTTTACACTTTTCGCCCCCTACGTACTATTATGCTGTATTTGCTACCTTGAATGTAGGGTTCCAGTCTTGGCTGTATATTAAAATCATCTGTGGAATGTGTAAAATATACTAGTGCCTCGGCCCCACCTACTGAGAGGTTGATTTAATTCCTAGAACCAATTGCATTTTTTTTTAAAAGCTCCCTAACTGATTTTGATTTGCAGCCAGGATTGAGAAACGCTACGCTAAAGTATTGCCTCTTCCAGGAAGCCTTCCGTGATGTACTTAACTGTCCTTTTGTCCAATCTGATGAGTTAGGTGCCTATCTTCTGTGCAGGGTTCCACAGAACATAGTAGAGAGCAGTCAGATGGCTGCTTCTGAATACTGGCTTTTCCTACTAGCTTTCTGACCTTGAATAAGTCATGTAACCTCTCTGGATCTGTTTCGTCCTACTTAAATTGAGAAAAGTAGTTGTATTTACCTGGAAAGCTGTTGTGAAAATTAATTAATTCATGTAAAGCCCACACTGTAATTATTTGCTATTATGGTATTGTCATTGATTTTTGCTGTGACATGTTTCCTCAATAAAAATATTAGTTATATATGTTTTAATGATCTAAAGATGCAGAAGAAATTTATAAGGCTATGATTTAATGAGTTTTCAATGTAACTGGCTTTTAGCAGCTTCAATTGTAACTTTTTAAATTGAAGGAGAGAATATTTCTTTTCTCACACAGTAGAAATAGGTATTAAGTGAAAAAACCCTCACTGCATCAATAGCCAGTCTTTGAATTTTTCACAGTAAATAGTTGCGTTACATAGTTTTGTTTATATCACTGTGTATATCACACTGACTCCTTTGTAGCAACTGATACACTGATTTTAAAATTCATTTTAATTTAGGGTAAATGTGAAAAAAAATTGTAAAAATATGAGTTTTCAAAACTTTTCTCGTTTGTTGCATTTGGCATTGAAAAAATATATATATAAACAAGCACTGTTGGAATTAACAGCATGGAATACTTTAGCATCTGGAGGTTCCACCCTGGATGCCGTGGAGAAGGGCTGTGCTGTGTGTGAGAAAGAGCAGTGTGATGGCACTGTAGGCTTTGGAGGAAGTCCCGATGAGTTTGGAGAAACCACACTGGACGCTATGATCATGGATGGGTAAGAACACTCTCTAGGACTGATTTATCGCTGTACCTTCACTTCACGTGGAGTTACATTTGTAGTTGATTAGTCTTACACTGAGAGCAAGATGATTATATAAGTTTTGTCGCAGGTCGAAACCCCTAGCTTATTGTATGTGGCCTTTCCAAACTCAAAGAGTTTCACTCTCAATTAAAAGAAAAGCATAATAATAATAGAAATAGCACATGGAAGTAGGTAGTCTCCTTAGCACAAGAGGACCCCAAAATACAAAAATATGTCCCTGACCTGGTGAACAGTTGTTCACCTGCCATTCCCAAATGCTGTGGTTTGCCTGACCTGAAGCCTTAAAACTCCTTTCAAAAGCCATATTAAAATGAGCCAGAAGAAACTGAGAATTTTAATGCTTTTGGAGTAAATGGTAAATTGATTTTTTTTTTCTAAATTTGTCTGACCGTGAGAATTTGTATAAAGTTCATGGATGTGCTGTGAATGTGGTATTTATCCTACAAAATACTATAGCTTGACATAAAGCAGTATTTTTAAATGTACGAACCTGTGGAAATCTTACTGCATTTGTTTTTGTTTTTGCAGCACTACTATGAATGTAGGAGCAGTAGGAGATCTTAGAAGAATTAAAAATGCTATTGGTGTGGCACGAAAAGTACTGGAACATACAACGCACACACTTTTAGCAGGAGAGTCAGGTATGTTTTACCTATACTGAAGTTTTATCTAGTCTTTTGTCTATATTCACTGTGAAAAAAGGACTTAGTATAAAATAATGGATAAAAGCCGACCTAAGTTCAAATTCCAGCTGTTTTACTTAATATCTGTTTAACTTTGGATAAGTTACTTATAAAGTCTCACTTTCTTCATCTTTAAAATAAGATTTAAAAAAATTAATATATTATCTATAGATGGGGAATTGCTGGACTGAAAGAGGATTCAGCATCATTTCTCTTCCTGTATTACTTTTTTATAGATGTAAGACCCATGGAGCATTATTAACATAAGAAAATGGGAACAGAAGGAATTTTGCTATGACAAGGTCACCTACTTGAACATCATCTGTGTTAATACTAAAAATCAAAAAATAACTTTTAATGATGTTTTAGCTAACAACTCCAGTAGCTAATCTTTGGTTTTGTTGAAATACAGAATTGAAAACTACCTGACAAGCAAGGATCTGTTACTGATTCATGGAATCCAGTTGTCCTTTTGGTTTCTCAAAGCATTTTACACAGTGGGCATCACACCCTAGTTAAAGCAATAAGATTCTTAGTCAGGAAGAGGTGTGCCTTTTCTTTTGTAAAGTAGAAGAAGGGAGATTGTAGGGGGATAGGGAGAGGAGAATTGTCATAACATACACCCAAAGGATCTCAAGCTGATCAGTTACAGGAAAGACATACGAAAGTTGAGATCTAGAAACTGACGCCCTTAAAACTGTTTGTGTCTGAATACTCCCTTGTGTACCCCAGGATGATTGTAACCCACTTAAGAGACAGCTAAACTACAACTTCCTGTACATATTTTGTTTAGAAGACAATACTTCACAAATTTACATTTTTCTTTTCTTCTTCATCCCCAGCCACCAAGTTTGCCGAAAGTATGGGATTTGTCAATGAGGATTTATCGACCAATACTTCTCGAGCTCTTCATTCAGATTGGCTTGCTCGGAATTGCCAGCCAAATTATTGGAGGGTGTGTACACATAATTTTTAAAAGTAAATTATTTGAAAATATTATGTGATCTCCCTCTCTGTCGTCTACCTGTTGCCTAAAGTGCTAGTTAGCACCCTGGTTGCACTTTAGAACCAGCGATTTAAGTTGATTTTCTGGGCGTGGGTGTTCTTAAAAGCTCCCTAGCTGCATCTAGGGCAGATCCTGGGTGGAGAACTACTGGTCCCTGGCAGTACTTTTCAAACTCTGAAGGTTCTGCTATTGGGAAAGGAGACTACCGCAGTCAGAACTACTCTGCTTGTATTTCCTTCAAACAAAGGTTCCAAGTCTAAAAAATCAAAGTTTGGAAACTGTTAGTCTAAAATAGGTCTTAGATTTTATCCATGTGAAGTGTACCCAGAATCTTGCCCTTATTTGACTGAAGGTTTTATAGTTAGGTGTCTAGTATGTTCTTAGTAGAATACTTTATCTTTAAATCAATAGACTTTTAGAATAAATCAGTTTGTCTTTGCCATCCAGAGCATTTCCAAACTGGACTATCTCAGTCTCTCATCTGTTTCTTCTCCAAATCCTAATTATCTTTGAATAACCACGGAGTCTCTGGAGTTAGCACTTGAAAGAGGCTTCTATGTAAAATCAGGTCAGGGGAGGCACCAACCTAATGAATAAGTCATTAGGAATAGGTTTCTTGCTTTAATACTAACCCATATATGTACAACCTAAATTTATGAATTTGGATTATTTTCTTGAGCCTTTAAGATTCATAAAGGAAGCTGAGAGTAAAATTTAGAATATGTTCACATGAATCTAGCTTTGAAAAAAAAAAAGGTGATTTTAAAATAGATTTGCTTTAAATCTCATAATTCTTCTTTGGCCAGGGAACAAATTCTGAAATTTAAAGGTCAGGTTGCATACCTAATTCCATTTAGGATTAATATCTAACAAAAAATTTTTCATTTCTATCTGCCATTATACTGAGAATTTAGGCACATGAAGAGAAAATCAGGGATCTTTCCAGACAATGTAGTTGTCTATTCCACATTATGTAATTCTGAGAGTAGACTAGGTATTTAGTAAAATTATATCCATCTGTTCACATAAGACTTAGTTAATCTTTGGCTTTTAATTCTTATCTTTCAGTTACCAGATGTCCTTTGGTTTCTTGCTAATGTTTAGTGATTGTACATAACTACTTGCCAATTTCTAAAATCACCCTTTCTAAAAAATACAACTTAAATCTTGTTTACAGAATGTTATACCAGATGCTTCAAAATACTGTGGACCTTACAAACCACCTAGTATCTTAAAACAAGATGGTTCTACCTATAAAGAAACAGGAAATAATTACGGTCATGATACCATTGGTAATTTGCCTTTTATACAGTTTTTATGGTTAAAGTTCAGCCATTTTTCATTGCCTTTCCATAGTTCTTAACCTCATTATCTCTATTCATGTACCAGAAGGTGATTTTGAATATTTTAACTGGCAAGTAACACATACATATATATACATTCTTTGCTTAACATCTATATACGTTTTGGTAAATTACCTTCTATGAGACCCCTAAAATCTAATGATTATTCACTTGTGGATTTTTAAATCTTTGTATGTAGTTCTTTAATAATTGATGTTTTTTGCCACATTCATGTGATCTTTCCAGGCTGTAGTGTTGGAAATTTTCATTGGCCTGTATCAGTGATTTTCTTTGGAGTTCTCTTTGAAAAAGGCATTGAAAAGTAACTGAGCACTTTGAAAAGTAAGAATATGGGATGTCTACCAAATGATGTTATGAAACTAGATCATCAAGAAACACAAATTATACCACTGGTACAATTTTCAGTATTCCCAAGTTTCCTATTTTCTTCTACCTGTCATTAATGAAAGAGGATATTTGTATTACCAATTGTTCAATTACTTGATTATATTCGAGGTAAACTTTAGAGTTGATACCTACAATGATTTTTTTTTAATTCTAGGCATGGTTGTAATCCATAAAATGGGACAAACTGCTGCTGGTACATCTACAAATGGTATAAAATTCAAAATACATGGGTTAGTGTTTCTAAAAGAACAGTTCTTACAAATGTATATTTCATGTAAACCAATGTGTGTTGCATGTAAACCATTGTGTGTGTGGTGCTATGGAAGATGTAGAGGCAAAGCACAGCCAAGATAAATAAATGTGAAAGAAAATAAATTAATATCTGCTAAATGCCAAAGGAGAGTGAATCCCGGCTGGTGCTGTAGAGTTCAAGGATGGCAGTGGTGATCTGATTCAGCTGGGGGGAGTTAGGGAGGCCAGTGGGGAGATGCTGGTTGCTGAGCCTGAGCCTAAGGAAGGGAAGGGAACGTCCAGGCCAAGGCACTAGCAGATCCAAAGTAGTACACACCAGTTCCATGCTCCCCCTAGTGGGAAAAGAGATTGCGTGTATGCCGGGTACAGGGGAGGAAGACCAGAGTCCGATTTCAGGGGTCTTAAGTCAGTTTAAGGATTTCTGGATTACATTTCAAAGTAGTAGAAAAGTATTAAAGGTTTATTACAAGGAAAACCCGGGGTAAAATTTTGGCACATTGGATATAAAGCATAAGTAAATTGTGGGTGAAGAAAACCAATTTGAACCTGTTAATATAACCCAGAAATTAGATGATAAGGATGCTAATAATAGTCACTAAAAATCTGTGCCACCTTGATATATAAGATGGTATTTAATTCTTATTAATGTAGGTTTGTGGAAACCTAAGTTGAAAAACTTATGAAAATATTTTTTTCTGTGTTCTGATGAAGATATTACTTAAAACAAAAATCAGTGTCTAAGTAGAAATACTCCCTATTGTTGAAACAGCTCATAAAATAATTTAGTTTTTACACTGATTTCGTGTCCTAAATTATTACACTTTGTCCTCCCAAAGTCGAATAGGAGATTCACCAATACCTGGAGCCGGGGCCTATGCCGATGATACTGCTGGAGCAGCTGCAGCTACTGGGGATGGGGATATACTGATGCGCTTTCTACCAAGGTATGACTTCTTACATGTGTGACCTTTAGAGATCTTTAGCGGAGACATTTTCTATCAAAATAGAAAATAATTCTTTGGCCATGTAATCCAAATTTGTGTATATAAGAGCTTTTGAGAAATTCTGCTTAGAATTCTTTACCTAACGTGTTGATAATATGATTCAAATTAACATAGTACTCTGAAATAAAATATTTTTCACTCTACCTCACAGATGAGAATACTTACGATCCATTTAAATCATTTATATAAGGCCACTAAATAAAGGAACTGTGGTAATTGATAAAAGTAAGAAACGCAGTCACCCTGTATAATTATTGAAAGATAATTATGACAGCTAGATGTTTTGCACATGCCCAATATTTTCCCTATTAATTGTAGCCCCATTTCTTATTAAATAGACCCTCTGTACTTCTGGCTTTTATTACTAAGTAACAGTTATTCAGCAAAAGCCAAAAATAATACTCCTTATCTGAAACTAGTAGTGGGTTAGTTGAAAAGATAGATTTTGTATCAAGATGTGCTTGCTTTCATGTTGATGCTTTCACAGGAATTACTCCTGGTCACTTACATATTCTATCAAATACGACAATTTTGATAGTTTTATATTTCTAACAAAGTAACCAAATTTGAAGTTAGTTTATTCTATAATACTAAAGTTTTGTCTTTGTTTAAATCAGCTACCAAGCTGTAGAATACATGAGAAGAGGAGAAAATCCAACCATAGCTTGCCAGAAAGTGATTTCAAGAATTCATAAGTATTTTCCAAAGTTCTTTGGGGCTGTTATATGTGCAAATGTGACTGGAAGTTATGGTAAGTTTCACTTGGAATTTGTATTTGTGTGAACTTGCAAATGTTGATGAAAACATACACTTTAAAATATTGTGGTGTTTTATTTCTATACAGTGGAAATGAGGACCGTATTGAGTAGACACTGGGAAAATGTTAATTGATGATCTGTCAAGGCTCACGAAGTTTTAAAAATATACTTAAAACCCTCCTTTGGTTGACTACTAATAGTTATGATCTAGTCTTTGGCTATTAGTTCTTTGACTTTGGTCCTAAATACAGTTTAGCTTCAGCTCCAGTCTGTGGTGAGATGGGCTAATCTAGTCAAAGCTTTTATTAATTAGAAGTAGATAGGGGTAAATTATCTTCCTTACTTTCCCATTCATTATTTAAATGTCTTAGTCATTTAGATCTTCTTGGGGCTCCAGGGTACAAAATGTTTTACTAATTAGTAAACAAAAGTAGTTAGAATTATTTTTGTACTGTGTTTGAAGCATGTCCTTTGCTTTATTTAATTTCTATATGAGCCTATCACAGTTTCAAAGCATTTCAAGATCAACCACTACTGATTCTCATTAGTGAATTTTCAGAAGGGGAAGATAGATCAGCTTACTAATCAATATGACTTATTAGGTTAGACTGTTTATTATTGTTCTTTGATCTTTTACTTCCCACAGTTCTGTATTTAAAAAACGTGTTTGAAGAATTCCTTATTCTTTTTTAAGTACTAAGATACAAAAGTTAATATAAGTTATGGGAGGGAAAGGCTTTATATATTAAAAAGTAAGTCAGTTTCATTCATTGCCTCTTAAGAAATAAACCTTAAAAGGCCCAAAGTTGGATTTAACAGGATGTAAAATGATAATTATATAATTATAGATGAATTTAAAATTATAGATGATAATTATATAATTATAGATGAATCTAGTCCCTTATATTTAAAGTAATGACATTAGAAGGGAACCCTCCAGGTGTTTGTGCATAGGTAGATAGGGCAGCAGGAAACCACTTAAGTAAGATGAACTTGATTAGACAGAGAGCATCTTGACAAATTCCTCACTTTCTATGAGGATAAAAGCGTAGAAAAGAACAGAGAGCATGGGGAGGAGAGGATTATGGGTGAATGATAGGAATGTGCAAATGACTAGGAAAATAAAATCTTTAGCATGTGCCTGAAAAAAATTTTTTGCTAAGAAAAGGATATGAACACAGTAAAATAATACTAGTAATGACATCATGTGTATAGAGCAAAAAATCAGCCTGTATTCTGAGGTTCAAAGAAGTGGCTTATCCACTTCTACCTTTCTTCCTCTCAGGGACTGTCAACTGTTCAGTACTAAGGAAGGTGACACAGTTGGATATCAGGTATACAATAGGCGATGTCTGTATTGGTTGTAAATATGTGCATTCTATAACCAAACAACTTTTTCTTTTCTTGGCCTCAGGTGCTGCTTGCAATAAACTACCAACATTTACTCAGTTTAGTTTCATGGTTTATAATTCTCAAAAAAATCAGCCAGTTGAGGAAAAAGTAGACTGCATCTAATCCATCTTTTCTGTCAGCATCTATATTTAAAGAAGAAAGAAGCAAAGGCTGAAAAGGTTACTCACTATCACTGCAGAGTATGCCTCATACATTCTAAATTCTTTTTGTAAAATAAGCACAAATAAGTTTATGCTGAAGTAGCACTTTTTAATATATGGAATTTTTGGTTATCTACTTTTATTTAAGCTTTGTATCTTTGTATATTGCCTGAAAATGAATATGTCCATGTGTATGTAATTTTTATATGTTTAAATTTTAAATGATATTTGGATTTCTGCTCAATTTTTTAAGAAATTGCCACTTTGGAGATTTATTTCCATAGTGATATATTAAAGCCAAAAGAAATAATCTATTTAGATATTTAAAATAGAGTATCAAGTTTTTTGGACCCAAGAAAAAGGTAAGGATTAGGCACAGCATGATTAGTCCTGATTGAATTTTAGTACATTCAAATGATATGTCTGTTATCACTGATTATCAATTTTACTTCCTGCTAGCTTAAAGAAGAAAGAATGCTGTTAAAGGTGATTTTTGTTTTGTTCACATTAGAAAATACAGGCAGTCTTCTGATGAGCAATTGTATTTATCTTTTTGGGTTTTTTTTTCTCTCTGATAGAACTCTCAATATGTGAAAGTTCTTTAGCCACAAAAATCTGTGATTTTTTAGCTGCTAATATTTAGTATTAATTTCTTCCGAAAATGATTTTGGGAATTTGATCTATACTGTGGTTTTACTAATCCCTTGTGCTGTGGTTGGTGATTGCAGTTAGAGATAAGTCAGGAAGTAGCCATTGTCTAGCTTCGTCTTGTTTTCCTAAGTGCTGAGTCCAGTATCTGACTGAGAACTATACAGAATTGAATGTGTGCTTTCTCAGCATCATCTTTTTCTACAAAATCATTATCTTTACCATCAGGAGTCAGTAATAACACAATATGTACAATATTGTCCTCAAGCTTTATTATATCTGCTCTGTTTTTTCTATACTCATCTTAATATTTAATGTTCTTTATAATTTAGAACTAGAAAGCTATAGTTTTGAGAATGCTCTTAGGGCACTTGTTCTTGGACCTTGCTATGTATTGTAATTGTCTGGGAAGCCTTCTCTTCTATCCCAAGTCATATTTTTCACAAATGAGAACATGAAAGCTAGAATTAGCAGACTACTAATGATAGCCTGAAAGCTAATAAGGAGATAATTCTATACCTTCTCATGAGGGTTCCCATGAGGTATGTGGATTTGCTGAAATCTGATACTGGGCCTTAGAACGAGGGGAAGAAAAATTTAAACTCTCAGTATATTAATAGCAAATGGGATGCCTGTTTTGTGTGTTTGCTATTTGTTAGTATGTTAGGCAACCATGTGCCACCAGAAAAAATGATATTATTGAAAGTCTGTCACTCCCCAGCAAATTAGGAGTTTAGCTGACAAAAACAACCCATGTATTTTTTTAAAAAGTATTTTCTCTGTAATTCACAGTCTTCCTGGTGGAAATAATTTTTCTATATATCTAATGTAGAAAGATAGAAATGAAATTAGCTTTGGAAATATATTTCTGAATTTCTAGATTTGAATGTAATATAAATTAAATGCTGTAGCTGCGTTGTCCTTTCTTTTGAAAAGTTAAAATTACTTTTTTGTCCCTGGTGATGATGTACACAGGAAACACCTCTTTGATGATGATGTTGTGATATCAGTGATCACTACGGTTGTAGGAGAGACATGTAGAAATCTAGTGAAATAGCACAGTATGTAAAGAGAATTGTGAGCCAATCATAAATTGAACTTGGAAATTATTCACTAAAACTTGGTAAAAGCAAGAAAGTTACTCGGGAAGGGAACCATGGACAACTTAATCATTTAACTTTTTATGGCAGATAGTAGTTGATGGTTTGTTTCACATATATCCTAGTTGTATAGATTACATGGCTGTTAGATAGCTTAGGATAAAGGTAAAAGATTCTTCTCTATCCTGCCAGTTTCTTCTTCTTCTTTTTTCTTCTTCTTCTTCTTCTTCTTCTTTTCATCCTATGGAAAATGTTGTTACTTGCCTACTAAGGTGAAATTAAATTGTCCCCTCACACATACGGATTAATCAACTTTCTTAAGTGATTCATAGAACATTAACATTGTCACCTGAATATATTATTTACACACAGAGTGCTTGCCATCAAATTCTGTTCTCATCTCTTTTCAGCTAACACATTTCATCTCATTTAACATTTCTAGCATACATAGCAAAGAAGTTTAGTGGGCTTTGAGTATTATCTTAGCTCAGTTTAACAGCACCATTTAGAAAAAGGAAGCGATTTTGGTATCAGCAATATCAAAGTTTCTTGATTATTCCCCCAGAGACTAGATGACTTCAAGAGTTTGGTATTTTTAGCACACTGGGCAAAGATGAAAACCTTAACCAGAAATATACAATAAAGAATTTGGTAATTTTATGCTCTTATTTATTTGCATTGATTAATCCCTGGAACAAACTTTTTTAGTTAATTATCTGACTTTACTGAAATGGGCAACAATGACTCTTTTGTGTGTGTTGAGTTAATTTTCCTAGCCGTAGTATAAACTGTGGAGTCAAGTCCTGTTCCCAAGCAGCTCCAGCTCTGCCAATCCTGCATATGGCAGGACTGCTCTTCTAGTCCCTTGTGATTTGGCACAGCCATGTGACTGGTTCTGGTAAGAATTTTCAAGCAGAAGTGAAGAGTATGAGACTTTCCTGTGCTGTTTTTCAGTCATGACTACATGATGTGGCTGCCCCATCAACCCGAGTCCTTGAGCGACTATAATGAATGGACCCCATGACAACACACAGTGAACACACATAAATAAGAAATAACCCTGTGTTATTGTGACCACCCAGCATAAACTACCCTGTCCTGACTGATACATCAAATATGCATAAATAGTTTAAAATATTTTTGGAGATTATTAAACTAATGACAAATGAACTCTTTAAAAAACAAAAGAAAATTTAGAAAAGGCAAAGATAACCTAGAATAGTACTGGTTAGAGATTAACAAACAGGTTAAAGGGTAGGAAAATGATGGATGATTTCTTAAAAATACTTCTTAAAAAAATCATATATACTGTTTGTTTCCAATTATAACAGTTAAAAAGGGCAAAATTATGAAGACAGTAAAAAGATAAGCATTTGACAGGGGTTGAGGGAGGGAAGGATGAATAGGAGAACACAGGATTTTTAGAGCAGTGAAACTATTCTACATAATGCTATAATGGATACATGTTATCATACATTTGCCCAAACCTATTGAGTGTACAACACCAAGAGTGAACCCTAATGTAAACTATGGACTGCAGGTGATAAATATGTATCAATGTAGGTTCATCATTGTAATAAATGCATCATTCTGCTTCTGAAGTTGGTGGTAGGGGAAGCTGTGTGCATTAGAGCAGTGGTCCCCAACCTTTTTGGCACCAGGAACCGGTGCTCCTATGAGAATCTAATGCCCCACGATCTGAGATGAAACTGAGGCGGTGATGCTACTTAGCACTGAGAAGCAGCTGCAAATACAGATGAAGCTTTCGCTTGCTTGCTGCCCATAGGTCACCTCCTGCTGTACGGCCCAGTTCCTAACAGGTTGGGGACTCCTGCATTAAGGGATATTAAGGAAACTTTTCTGTACTTTCTGTTCAACTTTGCTGTGAGCCTGAAACTGCTGTAAACAAAAGTCTAAAAGGAAAAAACATATATATATATATATATTATTTTTTATAATGGAGAAGGGAAGATCAAGTATTAAAGGTCTTACATCTGAGTAATATTGGAGTATTATATAATAATAGCCTGTATTAATTGAGCACTTAGTACTAAGCAGGTTTACATATATTATTTAATTCTATCAAAGCCAATGAGGAGGATAATAGTATCCAGTGAGGAGGTTTAGATATCTCACATGCAGTAGCTGAATTAGGTCTGGCTTGCATGGTGCTGGCTTTTGTTCTATTCTGGCTTTTATTCGGATTATCTTTTCAAGAACATTTCTATAGCAGAAGCCTCGAAGATTAAGATAGCATCTCCCTCCAGGGCAAGAGGCAATTTGTTTGTTGTCCAACATAACAAAGATAATCTCTCCTTTTGAGGTGAAAGGTAGGCAGATTTGCTCGCAGCCTCCTTATGGAACATTTGGGTTTCCTAAATTTGAGGTTCCTCAGCTGTGATGCGAGCTTACTGTGTGCAGTACCCAGTGAGTCCACCTCTCTGTTTCCCCAGGGAAACCTAAGAGGGACCTGAATGTGAAGATTATGCTCTTCGCTGTGCTCCAACCAATAAGGTTCTTTGTCTTTTATCCAGATATCTCTTGTCTTCTGCCAGCTTCCATAGGATAATATCTGTAATTCTTCACAGTTCTTGACAGTAATTAGTAAGAAATCCCTGATTTTGTTATTACTGTTCCTTGCATATTTTGGGGTAAAACATTGTAGACCTGCAGGTCAGTTGAAAATAAAATCAAAGACTACAGTCCATAAAGAATGGTTTACAAAGGCCAAGGACAACCCTCTTGAGATTGTTCACATAGTGAACATTCAATTAATTATGCTAAAATTTACCAGCAATCCATCATGCTATCCAGGGGTCCCATCTAAAACACCTAAATATTAACTCTATTCCTTTGAATAAAATAACCAGGAACTAATACAATTCAAATTTTAACTGATTGCACTGTTAAATAATGTATAACAAATAATAGAAATCTCAAACGATACTCAGTTTCCTCTCTTTGGTCTATTCTTAATAGACCTTGATTAACTCTTATAGAATACTGACCTGAAGTTAGAAATATACATGTATGCTGTACATACATAAACAAAAAAGTCTATTTCCAATACAGCACGCAAGTGATTCCTTTTGGTTTCAGAAGGCAAATAATAGACTGTATATTTAATTGAGATATTATATACAGATTATAATATACTTTTAAAGCCCATAATTTTTAATTGTTGAACTTCTTTTTAAAGTGTCATTACATCTGGTGCTTGGAGATTGAATTCGGAGCTAAGCACATAATTGAACTCATTTAGTATCTTAATTGTTTAATTAAATTCATTTGAATAAAAACTGGTGACATAAATGTGTATCTTAATTGGATGCTAATTATGAGAATAATTAAGACCGATTTATGTCATTTTACTGGTCATTTTAAAAAAAAGATTATGAGACCTTTAATACTAAAATATTTAAAATTTTTGTTTTTAAAAAAACTTCTGAGTATTATGCTAGTCATGTATTACTCAGTATAATTTCAACACCTGGCTTACAAAGTTAAAAAGATAGAATAATGAAGTCTACAAAAATATATGAATTGTTTGTATGTGGGACATATGTGCTATATGATGTTTCCTTAAACAACCAGGGTCAGCCAGTAAAGAAGTGCCATATTTCAGTATTTGAAGAGAGCATACCCATTAGAAGGATGAAGTAATTGTCACATTTAAGACGAATGTAATGAAAGTTAAAGCTGCCGTGATTAACCTTTTTGCTTCTAAGTTAAAGAGACAGAAGTCATTTATGGTTCTAAGGCGATAACATTGCACTAAAGTATAGATCAACTGATTTAAATGTGTGACCTTTCTATGCTGTGTACTAGATGTGATTGCTCATTTTCTTTAAAATTTGGTTCCTATAACATGGATGTCAACAGATAATATTTATAAGAAAATCATATATTAGAGTAAATGTGAAAAAGTAAAGTCTTTTCCAATTGCTAGCAATCTCTAACTTTTACAAAATCCTTAAGCACCATAAATGTCAAAATATTTCTTTTTGCTACTAAATAAAACCAGTATCATTTGTTTTCCTTTCTTGTTCTATTCATTGTAATTAAGGCATATTGAAAATTAAACCAAAGACAAGTTCAGAATGAAAGCGGTATCAGACAATCCAAGTCTACTCGTTTTATTCTAATGAGGCTAAAGTAGTGCTAGGTTGGAGCCTGCATTCGCCAGCGGAGCCAATTATTAAATCATTAATACCTTGAAATCATCCATGGTGAGAGTATTTATACTTCATATGTCAGCAAACATTACTAACTGGGGCTTCTTTTCTCCCCTAGAGAGAAATGTACCAGCACACCATTGACTAAACATGTTTTAAGATAATGTAGCACATATATACGTCACAAACACACACACACACAATCTTAGAGGAACCCTGGAACTTGTTTGGGTTCATGCCCTAGCTCTGTCACTTATTAGCTATGCCCTTGAACAAATAACTTACTGTCTTTGTGTCTGAGTTTTCTATAAGATGGGAATGGTGACAATAAATATACCTACCATATAGAATTGTTACGAAAGACTTGTCCGAAGTATTTAGAACAGTGTCACACACACAACATGCTCAGTAAATGCTGGCTAATGTTATTATCTAGACTGAAGCAAGAAATCAGGCTAAAGTTTCTAAAAATTCCCAAATATAAAGATCATATTTACATATAGGATTAGGCTAGTGTCAGACCTTTCATTTACAAAGCACTGGATACTGGTAAACAATGAAGCAACCAACATCTTCAATTTTTTTTTTTTTTCAGGAAAAGAATGATCAAAATTTTAAAATTATCAAGCAAGAGTAAAGGCTAAAATAAAGATCTTTACAAATATGTAAGATTCAGAAATTTTACTTTCCATAAGTTTACTTCAGGATATATTCCAGCAAAGTGAGCACAAAGTTTGGAAGGGAGAGAAATGTGGGTCCCAGGAAACAATGGTTTTCAATTCAGGAGAGTTCAGTAATATCAGTTGTATAGCAGTCCTGGCATGCTAAATACATTTAAAAAAAAAAAAAAACGATTAGAAAAACTATGACAAGCAAGAGAAGAGGAAGGGAGGGAAGAGACAATGAAAGAGAGAGAGGAGCAAGGGGAGAAGCAAGAAGGGAAGATAGAGGGAGAAAGGAAGGAAATTTAGAGAAAGAAAAACTTGAGGAAAAAAATACCTAAGGGTATCAGGGTACATTAGAGAATATTTCTTGGCTCTATAGGTAACTGTCATTGGAGCTTTAGATGGGCTATGGATAGGTGGAAACTAGACTATACACTTCTATGCAACCCGAGTTCTTAATTGATTTTACCAAGGATATAAAAACTTAGAAATGTGAGATGACCCGTGCAGCTTCCTTTCATGCCCAAGAGGGGCAAGCAGCTGCCAGTGCCACTCTCCACACAATGCAAGTTCTATGTTTGATATGAGAAGCTTAATTTTGCTCTCTGCGGAAGCCCTTTTATAGTCAGAATTTATATTACCATTTAGTAAGAAATGCCTCATCCTCAAATGTGAAAAGCAGAATCAATGCCCAAATGTCTTAAGTGGTACCTCTGCGCCCCACCTAACTGCACCTCCACATAATTATATAGACAGAATACTATATATACTGTTAGCAATTTTCAACTATTGGAATCATCACTTAAGCTTTAGCTCTTCCATAACACACACACTACACACCTTGAATGAACTTGTGGGCAGAGCTAGAGAAGCTAGCATTAGAGTTGGAATCATCATTTCAACTATTGGCATCAAACATAAAACTTAATCTGGTTAAGGAATAGACTTTAATTGTAAAGTTGTACACATGTATATCAGTAAAATTTAGATACAAACAATAGAAGATGGGAGATGGAAAGGGGAGGAAAGATCAAATAAAAGGGAGATGACTTTTCTCATCTCACAAAGTAGAAAATCAGGACATAAGCAGTGGGAAATGAAACAGGAAACAAAGGCATAAATGTTTACAGGTAATCAAGAAAGAAACAATATCACTACAGTGATTTAACCATAATGAGAGGTATAAGCAAAATCTTCATCATCTAAACCTGATTAATCAGAGAAGAGGCATTGGCATCACACCCCTTAATGATATGGGGGTTACCACCAGGAGAAATCATTGAGTGATTTCTTATGGGGAGTAGAGATGGGAGATAAAAAGATCACTAATGCTTCCATGATAAGCCTTTCTCTACCAAAATTTTTTAAATGACATATTTATCTTTGATAATAAATCAAAGCTAATTAAAGCTCATTTTATAAAGATAAAACAGTTCATAGGATCAGAGTTTTAGAAATGAAGCACACATTTGAAGTACCCAAGTCTAACGCCCATATTTTGCAGATGAGTAAGCTGAGACTAAGAGAGAAATGAATCTTAGAGAGAATGCCACATAACTAGTTTGTGTCAAGAACATGTCACTCGTCTCTGCTTCTGTCATCCAGGCTTATCCTACCAAGGGTGGAATCATTATGGTTAATTCTGTTCTTTAAGAATCTGGTGTTTTATTTTTATTTTTTTTTCCTTTTTAGCAATAACAGTAAATTATAATGTTCTCAAATTCTATATCAGATGTCATGCCCAGATAACCTCCAACATGCTGATAAAATTCTAAAGAAATTAGATCATATGTAAATGACAACCCAAGTGTCTATATTCTTTAACAAAATACGTTGTGTTCAACCCTATATGTTTTTGCTAGGTGTCAGTTTGGGCTATGATAGCAAATAACCCTAGATTATGTCACATAAATAACAAACATTTGTTTCTCACAATTCTGGAATCTGAGAAGTCCAGGATTAAGGTGAGAACCCCTTCCTGGTTTGCAGATGGTTGTCTTCTCTCTGTGTCCTCACAAGGCAGACATCTTGTGAGTAGAAGCAAGCTTTCTTGTGAGTCTTTATAAGGGCACAAATGCCTTTCATGAAGGCTCTACCCTCGTGATCCCAATCAATCTCAATTACCTCCTAAAGGTCCTACTTCCTAATACTATCAGATTAGGGATTAGATTTCGACATATGAATTGGTGAGGGGGAGGGTATAAACATTTAGTCCATAATACTAAGATTCTCAAAATTTAATTTGTACACAAAATTACAGACATGGAGAATAAATTTGTTGACTCTATGGTTATGATATTCTGGGACACATAGGACAAGTCCATGTTTTGAATTGTGGCTATAGAACCTAAGGCCATTTTGTAAGGATTATTATTCATAAGGTAATTTTAAAAACGTGTTTTGTAAAGACAATCTGTTTGAATTATCTGATATCCTTGA